TCTACCAATCTCTAACGGCCTTTTTATCCCCCAGCCAGGCTTCCATTTCCTGAGAAAGCGTGGAGGTCCAGGAAAGGTGCATTTTAATGTCCAGAATATTCTTCTTCTTTAGTTCGTTTGGGGGCACTTCTAGGAGAATCACATGCTTGCCCTATGTCAGCCATTTTGGGTCAACATTGTTTACCAGAACACTTAACTTAAGAACGACAGAAAGAGAGTGCCAGGGAAATAAATAACCAGCTTGGAGTGTGCCATTAAGACTGAGGAGAGCCAGGACTGACACTCACAGGGCACTGTTTTGGCTGACAGCAGCGGTTTTCAAACTCTAGGTTGCAACCCTTTAGTGAGATGGGAAATCAATTTGGTAGTTTGTGAGCAGCATTCCTTAAAATAATGAAACAACGGAATAGAATGAGATGTGTCAGATGTATCACATGTAATATGGGTAAGTTATGCATGTGAATATATATTTGGGTCATGACATAAAATGTATTTCTTATTGTGGTAGGTGGTAAAAAAAAAAAGTTTAAAAAATACTGAGCTACACTTTACTGAGCATTCTTTACTTTGCTGACAGTCCATAGCCCCAAACACATTCAGTTTGCTCTTCCGTTCTCTAATGAATTGATATAAGTGTGTATTTGTGAACTTTAACTATAAATGTATCTGCATAGTGCACTGGCACTAAATGCAGTATAGTTGTAGATCTGAAGCTCAGAACAGAAATCTGCCATGATTTGGGGGAGTTTGTGACAGGTAGATGATGGTAGGTTGTCAAAGCAGAAGCTTTAGCAGGAGGCGAAATCACCTGGAGAGCGTCTGTGAAGGAGCACAAATATTGCTGAGGGAACCATCTACCTTTAGGCAGGGATGTAGAAAAAGGAGCTCACACAACCAGCTGCAAAGAGATAGACAAGGAGGCAGGAGGCAAATCAAGAGGGTGTTGGCATGGGAACTAAAAGGGGAGAGAGTCTCAAGAGCAGGGAGAGGCTCAAGATGGCCAAAGGTGGCAGGAGGTCAAGTTAGGTAAGAGACGAAAAGCCTACATTGAACTGAGTAACATGGAGTCTGATGGTGCCTTAAGTCCAGGGACGGCAGCTGGATGCAGGGGGCCGAGTGGCGACAGGAGAAGATGAAGACATGAGGCAAATGGACAACTTTTGCAAACGTTTGGCAGGGAAAGCAGAGAGGGCAAGAGGCTATTGGCTAGCCTGGGACAACTGGATCCTCTAAAACCAAATTTGACCCTAGTTTTACAAAAAGAGAATATTTCACAAGCTGGGTTTACAGGAAGGCCCGGGGGTATTTAATCTTTGTTGGAAGGAATGAGACGGAGCTGTGCTTCCCTTCCTACTTTTCATCACCTGTGAACAGTCAGGTGAGAATTTCTGTCAATTGCTGAGACAAAATTTTGCAATTGTGACAAAGACTGCTGTTGCTCTGGTTATTTATAAAGGTGATGGTTAAATTGATTTTGGAAGTATGATTGCAAGTTGTACCGCACGATATGATCAGAGGTCCAGAATTAAGAGAAAAAAAAAGAGCAAAGATAAAGCAGTAGTCAAAAGAAAAACTACATCGATATACTATTAACGACATTACTGCGATCACTCCGTGAGAATATTGAAATAATGGACTATTCTGAAAACTGAAAATGCCGTGGGTAACTGATAGAATCTCAAAGGACAGATTAAATTTCTTCTACTTTTAGGAGGAAAACCAGACTTAAAAATACCTTCGATTTGTCCTTTCACTTCGAGATAACTTGGATGTAGGCACATTATCATCTACACTATTACTCAAGGTAAGGATTCCATGTGCAGGATGTGGGCCTTAGGGCTGTAATTATCCCAGCCTCAAGGCAGATTACCAGGTGTTGCATAATTATTGCAACACCTAGTCTTTAAGGAGTAAGGACATTTGCATCTGATTGTAAACATTTGTATTTAATCCTTGTTTTCCTGGGGGAGTAAAGAAAGCCCCGGGACCCCTAATTAAGTCACTTTATCTAACATGCTTTGGGCATAAAGATGGTTTTCAGAGCTGAAAGACCTATATAATTCCTAAAGGAAACTTTCCCCAAATGAAAAGCAAGTAAAAATGTTCAGGTAAGAAAATACAAAGCTATGCAAAAAGATACTGACAAATGGGGCAATTGCTTTAAGGTAAAAGCTCCTCCTTCAGGCAATTCAATTTACTAAAAACTAATCATTGTTTTTGATTAACCAGCATTTTAAAAAACTTGTCTAAATGGTTAGAAATAAAAAAGTTTGCCTTCAACAAATATCTATATATCTATAGCTGTATTTACATATATCTGTCTTATAGATGAGAAATATTGCTGGTTTTGCTGAATTTAAACATTCATCTATGTAAAGGGTCTCTGGCCTGAGAATAATTCCTTTATTCCCAAATATTTTGAAACATGGAATTGTGTGTGTGTGGTGGGGGTGGGGCAATGGAATTCACTTCAAATGTAAATTATATCCAGGTGGAGCAAGTGGATTTATAGGAAGAACTAGTTCAACTCCTAGGTGCAAGTCAAGGTGACTCATTTAGGCATCTGAAGCTCACGATGTACCCATGGAAGGAGACTGACTCTTCACTAGCTATTTTTCTACCAGATGCATAAAACCCCAAATTTCTTCTTAAATGTCTCTTAGTACCTGTCATTTTTGAAGTCGTAAGTGAAAGTTGAGTTTTAAGCACAAAGGAAAAAGTGCTATGCAGTGAGAAAAAATTGACACAAGAATTTCTCAAAAAGAACTTAGCGGATTTTTATAAGTCCTTTGAAGTTATTCTTGAATGGCTGAATTCATTGTCCAAAGACTCAAAGAAAGGAGTTTGGAGTTCTCCGCTCTTTGCCATACTCCTGGATCATGGGCACTGTTTTCAAAATAATCGGTAGAGCCAGGTGCCAGTGCCAGAGGAGGCAGATTTTAGACAGTTTCTCCTTCATTAACTAAAATCTCAGCTGTGTCTTGATTGACATTCTCTTGGTTAGCTAGGTTGGTTAAAGCTGGTGTTAGCTAACTTGGATGGATGCCAGATGTCTGGAGCAGGACAGGCTTATTCTGTGTGGGGAGACTTGATGGCTGCAGCCTTCCCTCCTCCCTCTCCAGGCCCACAGAGTCCCATTTTCTTGAGGTGCCCACCCTCTTGGCTATGTGTTCAGGGTCTGAAATAATCTATGATGACTCAAGGCAGGTGGGGATGGAGGTGACTTGGAGAATGGTCATCAATCACAGTAGTTCCTGTCCCTTGTCCATGAAAAGTTGGTGGCGGGGGGAGTGACCTTCTGCTGGACAGCTGGCCTCTTCCATGGGGCAGAGATTCTTTAGCCTTGACCCCGTCTGCTTATGACAGGGATCCAACACTCACACCAGCCACCCTATTTCACATAATCAATCCCCAGTGGATCCTTCTCCTTTACTCTTCAAGACCTGACCTGTTCTGATGATGATTTTCAGGGGTGGAACACTTTGGGGAAATCCCTGCTCAGGCTCTTGCTGGAAAACCCCAAAGGGGAGGAACAAAGCCCGTCATAAATCTGAGAAGAGCAGACCTGGGCACCCTTAATTGCTGAGCCAGAGGAGCCAGGAGAAAGTTGCTGGATTCTTCTTTTGTTTTCCGTGCCTTTACAACTGTAGGTCTAGAGTCTCACACAGTGTCCCTCTCACAATGGAAGTGTTCAGAAGAAATTGACTTGATTATCTAGTTTATCTCTGAGAAACTTCTTTTGAGAGCTGCCAGTAACCTATACCAGCTTTAAAAAAATCATCAAAGCTCCTTACTGTGTTTGAGCATCTTTGTGGTTTTTTTTTCAGTTGCCTGAACAGAAATGTAATGTTATGTACAACAGAAATATATTACTGTTTCCCTATAATTTTACACATACACATATGCAGTTTTCTGTTTATAACCACCCTCCTCATCTCTTTGCCCTAAACCTCATAATAAGCTCATTCATTGCTAACTCTACTTGGCTGCATGATGTTTTTAAAGTAGTCGGTGCAGTTGCTTTTCAGGGTAAAAAGAGGTTGTTTAGAAATGGCATTGAAAGAGAGGCAAGCCGGCTACGCAGAGAACGCGACACCGTAAATGTTAATTTAAGACCAGTAAACTGTCCCTGACTGTTGTAGAGAAATGTTTGCTGTCTGCAGGTCACCAGCCCCTTAGCCCAAGAGACATCGAGCCTCTGCCCTTTAGATAGAAAGATACCCTAATGGTCTGCCTGTGAATAAACAGACACTTTGTAAGGAAAGAAAAACTGGTCTGAAGAGAATTTCTCAGGGGCGGCGACTGTTTGCACGAACATCGCCTCGTCAGTTTTCGCCACCATCCGAGAAAGGAGGCGGCAGGATTAGGAATGTGTTTGGAGACGGCGGGGCGGGGCCGGGAGCGAAGGAGACACCTCCCCGCGCTCAGAGGAGAAGGTAGAGAGAAGAAAACCCTCGTTAGGAGCCTTCCCGGCGGTCCCCGCGTCCCCTTCCCGGGGGTCCCCTTGCCGCCGCGGCGCCGGGCAGAGGCGGCGGGTGTTTCGTGCGCCCCGGGCTGCAGCGGGAAGCGCTTCC